CATCCTTTGTTACTTGTTTCGCGATATTTCATTATGAAATTTGTCAAACAGCCTACACTTTGCGCTTACAAGTTGCCTTGCTAAACTGTTTTAAAATTTTTTAACAGTTGATGAAAGCTGTGGTTCCGGCAGTTTCAGGGTGTTTCTTTGTGATGCTTAAAAATGGCTAATTCAGAGGGATTGCCAAAGTTTAAGTTCCCCATCACAATGAATGTTTTCGTCAAGGTTTTGGTTAAATCTAAAGAACCTCTATATTTTTTATTTCAAACTCCCATTTACTTTTTACGCAATTTTTGTTAAATTTTACAACCCGTTTTATATATATATATATATATATATATATATATAGAGAGAGAGAGAGAGAGAGAGAGAGAAATGGAGAGAGAAAGAAAGAGAAATTGAGATATAATTTTTCCATATTTATCTTTTGATTGACAACATTAAACTATGATTGAATACATCAGAATACCACATAACAATGATTTGAAAGTTATAACATACTTTCGTTTTCTTATCCGGAAATAAATAAATAAATAAACAAATAAATAAATAAACAAATATTTATATAAATATTATGTATAATTATCAGGTGAAATAATATTTTATTTTAGAATCAGTAATAATAATTAACGTTGGAAGGCACTGTTTTGCTCGTTCACTGGCTTTTTTGCAACGGCTTTTCGACACACTGAGATTAATTGAATGAAGAAATGTAATTATTTATAAATATAATTATCTTTTATTTATAATTATATTTTATCTATAATTATCTTTTATTTATAATTATCTTTTATTTATAATTATCTTTTATTTATAATTATCTTTTATTCGTAAATAATCGATTGCTATATTTTACGATTAGTCGGTGAGAAATTAAATGTTTGGCTCTTGATTGAATGAATGGATGAATGAATAAATGAATGAATCAGTGCATTAATAAAAGAATGATTTAGAGTATGAATGAATGTTTGCATGCACATATGATTCAACAAATGACCAGATATATGAAAGAGTGAGTGAATCAATGGACGAATGAATGAATAAATAAACGAACAAATGAACGAATAAACGAACAAACGAACGAACGAATGAACAATAGAACAAATGAATGAAAACTAATCATCCCATATGACTAACAGTATGGAAAATACTTCAGAATCATGTCTACTTCCAATGTACCCTTCAGAATTCTTACCGCCTGATCATGATGGTCAGTTTCATCATTGTTACAAGTAATAACCATATATAAAGCAAGCAAGAAAGCAGACAAACAAACGAACGAACGAACTAAAGAAACAAACGAACAACCAAATGACCTCTGTATGTTCAATGTTCTCAAAGTTCACGCCGTTCACTTCAATTATTTGATCACCCTCCCTGACTCCCAGCCTATCCGCTTCTGAATTCGAACTAACCTTGTAGTAATAATAACAATAATAATAATAATATTAATTATAATTATTATTATACAATATTTATATTGTAATAATAATAAGTAATATTATTACAATTAATAATAACAATAATAACTATAAGAGTAATATTATTATTGGCTATAATTTATATTGACGTAACTACAAGCCTAATAAAACGTTCAAACAAACAAACACAAACGAACGAACGAACAAACGAACAAAACAAATTATAATCATCATTATTATTAAGGTAGTAATAGGAAAAATAATAATTATTTTTTTATTATTATTACTATATTAACAAACGTTTGTGATGAACATGCCAGGAATATTGTGCTCTCCACCACGGACGTTAAAACCTAACTGGCTGACGCGAAAAGAAATAAAATCCATAATAATATCAATAATAATAATAATAATAATAATTATAATAATAATAATAATAATAATGATGATGAGAACATCATTTTATTTTCTAACTCCAAATACCAAATAACAAAAATGAAATAATTATAAAATCCTATTAATCTAAAATGCCAGTGAGTACATTTTAGAGGGGCTGGTTTAATTGTCCAATTGGGGTTCAATCATTCTTATTATTTTGGCGTTAGTAATAATAAAAATAGTAATAATAATAATGATGATGATGGAAACAATCTTTTATTCAGCAATAAAATCAATAGAAATGGCAGTACAAATAAAAAAAAATAATAAAATTAAATAAAAAGGTCAAATGCAATAAATAAAGTATTAATCTATGAAGCTCATCATTTGAATTGAGAGAGTACGACCAGAGTAATTATTATAAATTAGGGAACAGATCTTTTATTTTCATCAAATGCGTAAAGTCAATAATTAATTAATTAATAGATGAATAGTCATGATTAAAATAAAATTAAATTAAAATAATAATAATAATGATAATAATAATAATTACAAAAAATAATAATAACGGTGTCGGTAATCATCCTTCTCTTCAGTAAAATTCTTCTCGGCAGAAACAGCCTGATGTCAGCGTCGTAACTTGGGTTACCTTTTCTCTAATAATAATAATAATATTAATTAATAATAATAATTTATGATAATAATAACTTGTAATAAGAATAATTCATAATAATCATCTTCAATTAATAATAATAATAATAGTAATTTGTAATAATAATAATTCATAATAATTCCCAATAATCCTCATCTTCATCATCATCGTCATCACTGCTAACTTGTTGTGGGGGAATCCAAGGTGGTGGGGCTTCATAGGGAGGGAGGGCCTCATAGGGGGGAAGAGGGAGGTCGTTCATCATTATTACTATTGTAATATTGTTTATTATTATTATTATCTTATTTTTGGTATTTTATTATTATTATTTTAATTAAAGTTTGTTTAAAACTTTATTATATGGAAATAAATTTAATTAATGGCAATCAGCATCACCAGCATCATTATCTTCATCGTCGTCATCATCATCATCATCACCAACATCATCATCGTCGTCATCATCACTGCCAACTTGCTGATGGGTGTATCCAGGGTTATGATGTGTTGTTTTATTAAATTTATTTAATATCTAAATTGATAACATAGACAAGAAAGAACAAAAAATAAACAGAACAAAAACAAATGGTTTTTTTACTTTATTTCCTTTTAATTTTTGTGGTTAAATTGCACCGTTTTATCGCTTATCCATCTAGTACAGGTGGCAATGTTTACAAAGAACCGATAATTTTTATATCCATCTTCATACTAGCAAAGAATAATTATTACTGTATGGTGTGTGCGTATATGCAATTATAACCTACACAGCACACACATTCACACACACATTCACACACACAAACACACACACACACACAGATACATATACATGCGCCCACAACGCAGTCACCAGCAACAGCATACTCACGGTCATCTATGGTCAGCTGCTTGCATCAGCTGTGTGTACAATCATATATACAAACTTGTCATACAAACAAATATACAAACTTGCCATACAAACAAATATACAAGCTTGTCATACAAACGTATATACACATTTTTATACAAGTAAAAACACCAACTTGTTATACACATGTATATACAAACATATTTCAGAACCTATATACAAATATAGGATAGAGTGTACAACATATGTACAAACTTATATACAACTAAATACATATATTATACAAACATACATTATATACAAACATATATGCAAAAGTTTACAATACCAAGATGAACATACAATCTGACGTTTGTGTGGTGAATTTTTCAAAATCTTTGATTGAATTGTCCGGTTGATTATTTTAGTAAAAAATTGAACTATAGCAACGTCAAGTGACAACATTAAAAACAAAAAATTGAACTATAGCAACGTTAATAACAACAATGAAATGTCATTACGTTAACGTTTGTGACAGCAACAACGAGCAACAACAACAAATATGCCGTGCAAATTTACAACAAATATTAACGAATTAAATCAGAAATTGAAAAAATAAAATCATTATTCTATGTTATTCTCATATCTTAAAGTAAGCTGCAACAACATCAACAACAACAGCAGTTGAAACAACACCAACAACAATTTTAGCCTCTTCTCTGAGGTCGTGACTATGACATCAAACAAGTCGATACCGTCACTAAAAACGCCGTGCAAAACCTCAAACAACAACCACAACAACAACAACAACAACACTAAAGACAACCACGTGAGCTTATCGAACCAACAAAAAACAAACAAACGCAACTACGTTTAGTAGAAAAATAACCCACAACAAACAACAACAAAACATGAAAAACAACAACAACAACCACAAAAACAAAAGAAGCGATAATAACAATTTTCACAACGACAAATTCACTAACAACACTAAAAACACACATGGAAAAAACCGCATTACCAGCAAAACCATCAAAACTACCAACACCACCAACAACAACAACAACAGCCTCAACAAAAGACACACCTCAACCCGATTTAACCAAGCAACAACTCTACTACTAATAACAGTAATGATAACAGCGACACTAATGACGAAGGTGAAGTCAGTCGCATGCAGTCCAGATGCCAGAAGGTTGTACGAGGACTTGTTGAAAAAAGGTTATAACAAACTTATCAGGCCAGTCAGTAACAGCTCTGATACACTTATCGTTAGGATTGGATTGAGATTGACACAAATTATTGATGTGGTTTGTATATTTTGTCTGTGTATGTGTTTGTGTGTATGTGTGATTGTGTGTATGTGTGAGTGTCTGTATGTGTGTGTGTGTGTGTGTGTGTGTGTGTGTGTGTGTGTGTATACATACATTTTGTGTGTGTATCTATATTTGTGTGTATGCAGTTGTCTAGAGTATGATTAAAATCTAAAATATTTTGAATGGAATGTTATTTTTCGTATTTTAAAACAATTTTCAGGGATATTTCACAGTTTATTTATTTATTTGAACGATTTTTAAAAAATTATAAACTATTTTTTTTTTTAATAAAATGACCATGATGAAACAAATAAGGACGAGAAGAACCAGATAATGACCACAAACGTCTGGCTAGAACAGGTTCGTGACCATCTATCATTTTTTAAAATAATTTTTAAAAAATATATAATCGGTGTCATGATAGTGTAGTGGCTAAGGTGTCTGCTACTTCTGTTGTAGTAATCAGATTCAAATCCTCGCATATCACATCCAATGTGTGTGTGTGTGTATGTGAGTATATGTGTGTGTGTGATGTTGCGTGTGTGCGTGCACATGCCATCGTGGTATGTAATTATATTTTAGAAATGGTCAGATACGAAACTGTCATGGAACCCTGCCAGCTACGGAAACGTTGAGAGGCTGTATGTTCCATCTGACGAAATATGGCTACCTGACATCGTTCTTTATAACAGGTTGGCTGGTTGATTGATTGGTTGAACCGGTTGGTTAGTTGATCTGGTTGAACTGGTTGGTTAGTTGAACTGGTTGGCTGGTTGATTGATTGAACTGGTTGGCTGGTCGGTTGGTTAAACTGGTTAATCGATTGAAGTGGTTGGTTAGTTGATTGGTTGAATTTGTTTGCTGGTTGATCTGGTTGATTAATCAATTGTTCATTAATTAATTGATTGATTAAGTTTGATTGAGTGAATAATTATTGTCAGATTGTTGGTGAGATGTGTTACCACACAGCTTTCATTCGTTTCTTTCAATTTTGATCAAATTAAATATTTCCAAAAATGTTTCAAAAGATGTCAGCAATTGCACTACCCAATTCTATATTATTAGCTTTTAATTTATTAAAATTTAATCATAAAAATCGCATAAATTCGTCAGAAATATTATTCATTTTTAATGCGAACGTACTCACAACCTCCCCTTCAACTATTTTTCACAAATCTCTCAAGCGCCGATGGAAATTTTACTGTAAAACTGATGACGAAGGCAACAATACACCACAACGGCACGGTTGTCTGGAAGCCACCCGCCATCTACAAAAGCCTCTGCCCCATCGACGTCGAGTTCTTCCCGTTCGACGAGCAGAAATGTACCCTAAAGATCGGTTCCTGGTCCTATGACGGTTTCTCGGTCGATATCAAACACATCTCTCTTCGGGACGGAGCCATGGAGTTTGAAACTATAGCGGATGGTTTGTTTGCGTGCTTGCGTGTGCGTGTGTGTGTGAGAGAAAGAGAGAGAAAGAGAGGAGAAAGAGAGAGAGAGAGAGAGGAGAAAGAGAGAGAGAGAGAGAAAGAGAGAGAGAAAGAGAAAGAGAGAGAGAGAAAGAGAAAGAGAGAGAGAGATAGATTTAATGTTTGCTTTTTGCAACCGATAATATTTATTGTCTAATGGATGGCTATGAATAATTTTTTTTCACAACTTTGGGAGTTTTTCATTTCCTGATCGTATGAAATTTTAAAGTCTCAACAAGTTTTCACGCATAAACGTTTAAAATTGTGTTTTATATCAACCCATTCATTTGTCCTTTCGCAAGGAATCGACTTGGCTGACTACTACAAAAGCACGGAATGGGACCTGCTGGCAGTTCCCGCGAAGAAGTACTGCAAGTATTATCCGTGCTGCTCCGAGCCCTATCCAGACATCAAATTCAGCATCACGATCCGACGCAAGACCCTCTTCCACACCGTCAACCTCATTCTTCCATGCGTGGCCATCTGCTCCGTCACGCTCCTGGTTTTTTACATTCCCGCTAATTCCGGGGAAAAAATCACGATGGGGATAACTATTTTGAATTCTTTGAATATTTTCTTGCTACTCGTTGCCGAGATCAACCCGCCCACCTCCCTGGCCATTCCGCTGATTGGGAAGTATTTGTTGTTCACCATGGTGCTGGTCACGTGCTCTATAATTGTGACCGTCTTTGTTTTGAATGTACACTTCCGGTCGCCATCAACTCACGTGATGTCGCCATGGATACAGGAACTTTTCCTCAACGTCCTGCCGAAGTTGTTGTTCATGAGGAGGCCGAGGTCTTGCAAGGATGGGCTTGGTGAGTGTGTGTGTGTGTTTGCGTGTCTGTGTGTGTGTCTATGTCTGTGTGTGTTTGCGTGTCTGTGTGTGTGTCTATGTCTGTGTGTGTTTGCGTGTCTGTGTGTGTGTCTATGTCTGTGTGTGTTTGCGTGTCTGTGTGTGTTTGCGTGTCTGTGTGTGTGTCTTTGTCTGTGTGTGTTTGCGTGTCTGTGTGTGTGTTTGTGTGTGAGTGAATTAATTAGTTAACTGATGAAGTAAGTAAATGAGTGAATGAGTCGATTAATTAGTTAATGAACAGATGAATGAATAAACGAGTGAACGAATGAATGAACGAACAAACTTTACCAGCCAGTAAGTAAAAAACTATTAGCGTATCAACCAATGAAGTTCACCAATGATGCGATAATTACTATCACCCACTGTTATCTTCATCATAACCACCACCACCACCATCCATCATCATCATAATCATCACCACCATCATCATCACCATCACTATCGTCATCATCATCACTGCCATCATAATCATCACCACCATCATCATCATCACCACCATCATAATCACCACCATCACCACCACCATCATCACCATCAAGGATCGTACGCTTCTAGAATGTCAATGCAGACATGCCAAGGAATGGAGATTGTTGGCGATGATGACGATTACGATTATAATGTCCAACCACCATCATCATCATCAGCAGCAGCAGCAGCAACAACGGCCACTGCCGCCGGTAAAACGGCTAAGCTGTACACATCAGCTGGTCGAGCAGCTGCTGCAGCCGAAGATGATGATGACGATGATGCAGCTACTGACGTTGCTTTCATTCACGTGGTTAATAAGGAAAGGTTGGCTATAAACTTTATGATTTTTTTTTAAAATTCTCTTCCTGATTTTTTTTTGTACTTTTCTTTTTGTTTCTTCTTCTCTTTTTTCTTCCTCTCTTTTCAATCTTCTACCTCTCTCACTCTGAATTAGTCAAATCGCCATGATAATTTGTAAAACTTTTCATTCAATCTTTATTTTTTTCATGTCCGATCAACCCAGTGACACAAATTATTGAAAAGGACGATAAAATCACCAAAACATATACAAGAAACAAAAATAAAACATAAACAAAACTTTAAAATTAACCTAAGAAAACAGAGACCAATCAGATCGCAAGCCCCGTTTCTTCAATCTCCTATTGGTCGGGGGACTGAGTCATGGGACGACGACCTCTCGCCAATCAGAAGCATCAGAAATTTGAAAAAATGTCGCACCCTTGACGATGAGAGTTGTGGCCACAACTATCATCATCATCATCACAATCCAGACTTTCATCATTATCCGGATCGTCATCAGGATAAATATTTCCATCATCATCAGCATCATCAGCTGCAGCAGCAACTTCATCGTCGTCATCATCTTCATCACAACATGCCCACGCATTATAGATCATGCAGCTATATAGGTGGGTATGCGGCCATGATAATGAGAACATCCTTTTAATTCCATTTTTAAACATACATTGTAAATGAAAAGATAAAGTAATAAAAATTATAATGTAAATTATATATCATAGATATTCTACAATGCTCGCCATACATTTTAAATGGGCAAAAAGAGAAATAGAATCAGCATTAAGTTATGTTCAAATCGTGTTCCTATCACAGTAAATTGCGTAAGATGACGATACTACGGAGTTAATTAAACTTCCATGAATAGGGTCAGACCAAATAAAATTAATTAATGATAGTTTAAAATAATAATAATTATTATTATTATAATAACGATAATAATAGTAAATGATGATAATAATAATAAATCAAATTAAAATTTGCCACCCTAATAAAAAAATTTTATTCTGAAGTGGTGGAGAAAGTGTACAATCGGTGCTGGTTATTTAGGCCACACGGTAATTATTATTATTAGATAATTTATATAGCGCCCATTAAATAGTTCTCACAGGCACTCTCCATCTATTTCGAACCTATCGCTGAAAAATGAATGTCTTCAACTGCCTTTTTAAAATGAGAAAACAACAAATTGCGATGAAGCAAAGTCGGCGCAAGATCATTCCACACCTTTACTCCACAAACCACAAAATTTCGCCTCTCTATTCGTGACTGTATGTCAATATATACGTGGGCAGATGATATGCCAAGCATATCAAATCTTCTTTCTCGCGTCTTACCTTTCAGGACATTGGCGACCATCGACCCCCACAAAACCCGATCTTTAACACTTTGTAAGAGTTGAAATATAGTAATGTAGTAATCACTTCGGCATTTTTAATGAGTCTTATACGTCATTATTTTTACTTTTTCCTGTGTGTGTGTGTGTGTGTATGTGGGGCAATAACGTTGTCCTAATTTGAACTTTGCCCTCATGATTTATTTCACCATAACTTCATAACCATCAGCGTCGTCATCGTCATCGTTAGCGTCATCATCATAATTCTACAGGTGAAAATGACGGTGATGATGACGTCAGAAGAGTGACCTCTGACCTCCCGCCCGTTGTCATGCAGGCGGTCATCGGAGTCAACTTCATAGCCGATCACCTCAAACAGCAGGAAGAATTTAATAAGGTTATGATGACGATGATGACGACGATGATGATGATGATTGTGGTGATGATGTTGTTGATGAAGATGATAATGATGAGGGTGATGATGATGATGATGGGTGGGTTTGTACTGTGCCTTTGTAGAGTCTGGTGACACTTTGAGGAAATTCTTTTGTCTTCGCAAGATGAAATTGAAAATTTTTAAACGCTTCTAAAGTTCGTTTCTGATTGTGACGATGAAGGTGATGATGATGACGACGACGATGATGGAAATAATGATGAGTAAATAAATAAATCAATCAATCAACTAATCTGCCAACCAACCAATCAACCAACTAACCAAAAAACCAATCAGCCAACAACCAACCAATCAGCCAACCAACCAATCAGCCAACCAACCAATCAGCCAACCAACCAACCAACCATCCAACCAACAAACCATCCAACCAACTAATCAACAGAAAAAACAAGACTGGCAGTTTGTAGCAATGGTGCTGGATCGGTTATTTCTCTGGATGTTCACAGCCGCCTGTGTTGTCGGTACTTTTGGCATCATCGTACAAGCTCCGACACTTTACGATAATCGACTTCCTATACCGAAAAATGCACAATAAAATCGACGATTATTGAAATTAATACAGCGTACCTATTGTATGTATAGATACAAATGTTTGTATATGATGTATACGAATTGGATATAATTATGTATTGTATGCATAAATACAAATGTTTGTATGTGATGTATGTGTACGCATGTGTAATAACTATGTATTGTATAAATACAATTGATAAATAAATACAATTGTATGTATAAATACAAATATTTGTATGTGATGCATACGCATTGGAAAATCATTATGTATTGTATGTATGAATACAAATGTTTATATGTGATTGTGTTTGTATGTGATTGTGTGTGTGCCGCCGTGTGAATTTTTTCCTTCTTTTTCATTACAAATTTGTTGAAAAGATTTTATTTCTCGTTAAACAACAAACCAACAGTGGCGACATTCTGAGTTCGCTCTTAAACTTTAGCACATCAAGCAAAATAAAATTTCATCGAGTCCAGTAACCAAGCTTGTTAAAATGACGATGATGATGATGACGACGATGAAGATGATGATGAAGATGATGACATGAGTAAAGGATGATTAACTTGTCAAGAGAAAAATGAAATAAAAAAAAACAAAAATAATCTTTTAAGGCCTGAAAATAATTATGTACAAAATGAATTAAACAATATTATTATTATTATTATTAAAAATATTAGAACTGTTACTATAATAGACTACTCTATGGCTTATATTGTCGCTCGTCATCATATTATTACGTAATAACAAGTAAGGCGCTTTGTTGAAGGCCAATCATTTATTCATTCATTCGTTCTTTCTTTCATTCATTAATTCGTTCGTTCGTTCGTTCTTTCGTTCGTTCGTTCTTTCGTTCGTTCGTTCTTTCGTTCATTCATTCATTCATTCATTCGTTCGTTCGTTCGTTCTTTCTTTCTTTAATTCATTCATTCATTTGTTCATTCATTCATTTATTCATTCTCATTTATTTAAATGTTCATTTGTTTATTCATTCGTTCATTCATTTATTCTTTCGTTCGTTCTTTCATTCATTCATTCATTCATTCATTTATTCATTTATTTACCCATTTACTCAACTATTCATTCATTCCTTAAAGTGTATACACACACACACACATACACACACACACACACACACACACACACATATATATATATATATATATATATATATATATATATATATATATAAATGTATATGGTCATATGTACAATATGTCATGATTATATGCACAGCTGAAATCTGGTCATGTCGATAACAATTTAAAAAAATTTACATGAAAGTAAATTAAAAATAAAATAAAAACAATTAACAATTAAGTAAAGTTTATAATTAGTATAAAATCCGATACGATCTCATGCGTGACGTCATAACATGACGTACTTGTGACGTCATTTCCGCTTTTGCTTCCGTGTAAAATTTTATCAATAGGGGAGAGAGAGGAGAGTCTTCAGACTAAACTGAAATTTAGCGACTGGACTGCTTGAAAAGGCAAATTGACATTATTATTATTACTTTATTATTAATATTATTTTATTTTAATTTTATTTCATTTTAATTTTATTTTAATCATGACTATTTCTCTAATATTATCATTATTATTATTATTATTATTATTATTGAATCAGTATCATTATCATTATCATCATCATTATCATTATCATTATCATTATTATTATTATTATTATTATTATTATTACTATTAACAACTTTTTGTGAGAAATATGAAAAAAGTGTCGAAATAATGAAACAAAATGATGGTATGGTATGGTATGGAAAGCGAAAACAAGGCAAAAAAATTGTGGGAATTCTATACAAATAACAATCAATTATTATCAATCAACAATATGATAAAAATAATGATAATAACAAATAATAAAAACGAATGATATTAATCATAATAATAATAAATAATATTAATAATAATGATAATAATAATAACGAAAATAGCAACTGATAGTACAGAGAATGATAATTCGTAACAAAAATTTCCACCATCAAGTTTTATTGAGTGAGTAATTGATGGCCCCATTTCTGGCAGCGGCCCGTTCAACGTACCCCCCAAAAACCTCACCATCTCCTATATTATTATTACCACCCCCACAATGATTATCATTAACAATGCCGCCAATGTCGCCGCCACTGATGCCACTACCACTGGCGTTTTCGGCTACGTTGTTGTTGTTGTTGGCCGCGGCTAGCATCAAACTGTTGGCTGTGTGTTGATCGAGGAATGGAGAGTTGAAGAGCTGTTGTGGTGTGAAGAGGAAGTCGTTGATGTTTTGTTGTTGCTGTTGCTGAAATTGTTGCAGGAGGTTGCTGGGGAGCGTCTTGTCTCCGAGCTGGTTGTCGTTTGGAGGAAAGTGAAGCATGGAGGGGTGCGGGGCAAGGCTCCGCAAGTCATCGTCCACAGGTTTATCAATCAGCTGGTAGATTTTTTGCTGCTGCTGCTGCAACTGTTGCTGCAACTGCTGCTGTATGAATTCGTTGAAGAGTTGTTGCTGGTGATGGGAGCTACCGATCATGTTATTGTCGTCCTCTAAGTTGTCGTTTTGTGGGTCGGTTAAGTTATCTCTAATTGGGTCGACTCGACCTACTTTGTCCGATTGGAGGAATAGGTAAGGAAAGTTTCCTGGGGATCTGAAATAAGCTGCTTGCTGGTCTTGGTTATCGTCCCCCTTCGATAGTGACATGTTTTCTGTAGAGTTGATGTCTTCGATTGACCTTGGTAGCAATTGTTGTTGTTGCTGTTGAACGTACTGCTCTAGCTGTTGGCGCAGCTGCTGTTGCTGCTGCTGAAGTTGTTGGAGCTGGTTGTGGTTGAGCAAGAATGAATTCTGGTCCTGAGATGAATAGGAGGCCCTCGGCGAATCATCTTCGTCGTCGTCACGTTCGAAGCAGTCCTGTGGCTGAAGTTGGTGTTGACTGGTCATTTGTTGTATCAGTTTGTTGTAAATTTGTTGCTGCTGCTGCTCGAGACTGCTTATGTTGGCGGCAAGGATGTTCGTGCTGTTGATGCTGTTGTTGAGGTTGTTGATGTTGTGGCTTATAGTGTTGCTGATGTTGTTGTTGAAGATGTTGTTGTTGATGTTGTTGTTGTTGTTGTTGTTGGTGCTGATGTTGTTGTTGTTGATGTTGTTGGTGCTGATGTTGTTGTTCATTCTGACGTCATTAGCAGAGGATTTATCTCCCGTCTGATACATGCTGTTAGCAACTGGAAACTGGAAAGCGGGAACTGCGCTATTCAAGCTGGCATTGTTCGAAGCGTTCTGCAAGCTGCTGCTTTTGCTACCGTTGTTGTTGTTGTTGTTTGCGGAAATCCCGTTGTTATTGTTGTTGTTATTTTTAGCTTCGGCATTGTGTTGGTTGAAAAATGCAGTCAGGGAGGTTCCAATAACGGCTGACTGACTCAAATTAGAGGAAGCTGAAACTTTGGGAACCACAAACGGAACCGGAAGTGATCCATAACTTGCAAAATTGCGCTCGGATCTCCGACTGCCGCGTTCATCGTAGCGTTAACAGCGTTTGCTAGAAGGCCCGGTATCTTGACGCTACTTAGGAGGCTGGCGGGTATGTTGACCACGGTGTTCCCACCTCCCGTCACTGCGTTGCGCCTCCTTCTTGGCTTGTATTTGTAGCCCGGGTGTTCCGTCATGTGCACGGATCTCAACCTCTTAGCCTCCTCAATGTAGTGTTTCTTTTGAGTTTCGGGCATGGCTTTCCACTCGCTGCCCAGCCTCTTGCTGATGTCCGAGTTGTGCATGGTCGGGTTTGCTTGGGAGATCTTTCGGCGTTCCACGCGCGACCAGACCATGAAGGCGTTCATTGGACGCTTAACCTGAGTATCGTATTACGGTGTTTGTTTGTGTGTGCGTGCGTGTGCGGGCGTGTGTGTTCGTATGTGTGAACAGTGGCGGCGGGGGTCTGTGTATGAGAACTGGAAGGTGTGAGTGCGATTTTATAAATTAAATTTTGAAGCAACAAACATTTTTAACAAGTTAAAAGCATAAAAATGTACTTTTGAATCCTTTCCAGACCCGGCATTGTTGTTGTCGTCGTCGTCGTCATTGTTGTTGTTGCTGTTGTCTTTGTTTTTGTTGATTATCAAGTTGCCTGGAATGGCGATTGTTGGCATGGGAGACATCCCTGAGGCTGCGTTGTTCAGCAGTGTTGAATAGCTGCTTAATAAAGAATTCGATTGTAGGTTTTGTTGTTGTTGCAGTGTTAGTTGTTGCGGTTGTTGTTTTTGCGGTGTCTCTTGGTCTGTCTGTTTTGTCTGCTGATGTTGCTGCTGTAAAGTTTTTTGATGATTTAACAGTTCGTTCGGCTGATTTTGCTGTTGTTGAGACGATTGCTCATCGTGTTGCTGTTGAAATTGTTTCTGTTGCTGGTAAAGGTCTTCTAAAAATGGTTGGTCCTTGTTAAGTTGCTGTTGTTGAATGTCGTTGTGGGGTATTTGTTGGAGGGGTATGTTCTGAGGGTTGCTGATGGATGCTTCGATCAGTTGTTGTTGTTGTTGAAAATATTGCTCTAATAGTATCTGTTGCTGCTGCTGTTGTTGCAGAAATTGTTGTTGAATTGTTGGAGAGTTGTCAAATTGTTGGCAGAACTGCAGAGGATTTATCGGCCTGAGCTCTTCATAACTATTTTCAGTGTTGTTGTTTTGTTGCTGTTGTTTTTCTGATGAAAGCAAGTTGTTGTTGCTGTTTGAATAATGTTGCATTTGTTGCAGCTGGTGATAAACGATTTGATGGGGTTGTTGAAAATTTTGTTGCTGATTGTAAAACTGCGGTTGTTCTATGAGATAATGTTGTTGCTCTTGTTGTTGTTGGTCTTGTTGCTGCTGTTGTTGGTCTGAGTTACTCTCATCCATCATGCTGTGTTGATGTTGCTGCTGCTGAGAAAATTGCAACAGCTGTTGAAAAAGTTGTTGCTGCTGTTGCTGAAGTTTTTGCATGTCTAGCTGTGCAATATTTTCTAAAAATCCGCAGCTTGTTCTGGGAGCCTGGCTGTCTGAATCAACGTGTTCGTCGTCGTCGTTGTTGCTGCTGCCGAAAATGTTGTTGCTGAGGCCGTTGTTGTTGCTGAGACCGTTGTTGTTGCTGAGACCGTTGTTGTTGCTGAGACCGTTGTTGTTGCTGAGACCGTTGTTGTTGCTGAGACCGTTGTTGTTGTTGCTGTTGTTTATGTAGTAATAATTATTAGCTGATGTTGCAGTTGTAGATGGGTAGGTTGTTTCAACATTAGATGAAGTTACAGTGTTATAAAGATCCGCGAAGTATGACTCCGTTTGCGGCTGCTGTTGTTGTCGTTGTTGCAGCAACTGCTGCTGCGTTTGTTGTTGCTGCTGCTGTAGCTGCGTTTGTTGCTGGTTATAGTTGGCATGTTGCAGTGTATTATTTTTTTGTTGCTGGAGATGTTGCTGCAACAGTTGCTGGTCTTCAGTTACGACAGCTGCACTTGCCAACGGATTCTTACTTAAACTATCAGCATTTTTATCGACCGTACTCCCATTCTTGTCGGTGTCAATGTTCATATTGTCGTTGTTGTTAATGTTGTTGTTGTTGTTAATGTTGTTGTAGTAATTGTTGTTGTCGTCAACAGTGGTGTTCTTGACGACATTTCTAATGATGTCATCAACGTCGTTGTTGTCGTCGCGTCCCGGAGAAACTGCTGTTGTTGTTGTTATTGTTGTTGTTTCAACTTCGTCAGACTTTGTTGAATTGACGGCATTATCTCCGTTGTTGTTGTTGTTATCAACTTTAATGTTGTTTTCAGAGATGTCAGTGTTGTTGTTTTCATCAATGATGTTGTTACTGACTTCTGTGTTGTAGTTTACGCTGTTGATGTAATAAGAGTTGTGGCCTTCATTGGCGTTGATGTCAGCTCTTGGCTGGGGGGCTTCATTAACGCAGATGTTGTTGTCATTATCAACTTGTAGCTTTTCATCTGATTTATAATTTTTAAATTTCATCATTTTACGCGGGATTTTACATTCAGTTTCCGCTTCCGGTTTAGCTTCCCGTTTGTTTTTGTTGGTTGTTACATCTTTAGAATGTTCTGGAAGTTTTTGTTGATTTTGTTGGTGTTGTTGTTGTTGTTGGATTGTGGCATTAATAAAAATTTCATTTGTCGTTCTTATTTCAATAGTGTTATCAATTGTTGTGGATGGTGTTGTTTCGAGATTTTCTTTACTGATGTCTTTGTTGTTGTTGTTGTTGATATTTTCATTGATGTTGTTGAGGTTATCAGCAATGTTTTTGTAAGTGTCAGTATCATTATTAATCTTCTCAATGTTGTTGATGATGTTTTTGTTTTTGTTGCTGCTGCTGTTGTTGTTGCAACTTGTGTCGGTGATATTTTCATCAGTGTTACATGCACTGCTTCTGTCAATGCTACGTTCTATATCAGACTGATTGTTGTTAGCGTTGTTGTTCTTGTTGCTACTGATGTTTTTGTTGTTGTTTTTGTTGTTGTTTGTTGTTTTAGTACTGTTGTATTGTTTATTGTTGTTGCTGTTGTTTTTTTGATTGGCAAAATTTGTTTGGCACATTTTTTTCTCTTTTCCTAATTTTCTGTCATCAACAGTGTTGCTGCTGTTGTTGTTGTTGTTGCTGTTGTTGTTGTTGCTGTCGCTGTTGTT